CAAGAACAAATTGAATCACACCTTGCGTTTGGCTAAGCGTCGGTATTATGAAAAGAAATTGGAAGATGCTAAATCAAATACACATGCGACCTGGAAAATTTTAAACGAAGTCTTAAATAGAAAAAAGTCGAGGCCTCAATTAAATACAATATTTAAGTCAGACGGTCAGGAGATTTCTGATCCAGTGGAAGTAGCAGATAGGTTTTGCAGCTACTTCTCTAGTATTGGTCCCAAGCTCGCAAAGAAGATACAGCCTCCTCCTTGTTCACATAAAGATTTTCTATCTGGATCATTTCGAGAATCAATCTTTTTTAGCCCAACAACAGAAGATGAAATTATTACCATTGCTCAATCTTTTGCTTCCGGGAAAGCGGCTGGATATGATAATATTCCAATGTCTATAATTAAGGAATCCATTCAAATCATTTCGGGACCTCTGGCTCACATTATGAATTTATCGATCGCTCATGGCGTTGTACCAGATCAAATGAAAATAGCTCGTGTGGTACCACTGTTTAAAGCTGATGACCAGTCACTATTCACTAACTATAGGCCTGTCTCGGTTCTACCAAGCTTTTCAAAATTTCTAGAGAGAATCATCTATAATCGTTTGTATGATTATTTAACTAATTTACATATTCTCTGTGATAACCAGTTCGGCTTCAGGAAAAACCACTCTACGACGCTTGCCTTGATTGATTTGCATGAAAAAAATTTCATCTGCTATTGATCGTGGTGAATTAGCGGTTGGTGTCTTTTAGATCTCTCGAAAGCTTTCGATACAGTCAATCATTCCATCTTATTTGATAAACTTGAACACTATGGTATACGTGGCTTGGCTCTGAAATGGATTAAGAGCTATTTTTCCAACAGACTTCAATTTGTAGAATACAATGGTTATGTTTCGTATCGTGCTAATATCATGTGTGGCGTTCCCCAAGGTTCAATACTAGGGCCTTTGTTTTTTCTACTCTACATCAACGATATAATCAACACGTCAACAATATTGCAACTGATATTATTTGCCGATGATACAAACGTATTTGTGTCTCACAAGGATAAAGACTGCCTTACTAATATACTGAACGCTGAACTAAATAAGTTGTCAATATGGTTTAGAGCTAACAGGCTTTCATTAAACTTGAAAAAAACCAAATTCATTGCATTTAAACCATCCCAAAAGCGTACAAATCAAACTATTCAACTTTTAATTAATAGTCAAAAAATTGATCAAGTAAAAGAAACAGTTTTCCTGGGAGTAATCATGGATGAAAATTTAAATTGGAAATCTGAAATCTCACATGTCGCCAATAAAGTTTCTAAATGCACAGGAATTATTCGTAAATCCAGTTTCTATTTATCCACGAAAACCTTACGAACACTATATTTTTCTCTAGTCTATCCATGCCTTTTTTACTGCAACTTAGTTTGGGCCTCTACTTACAGAACTAACCTTATTCGTCTTGAGATTTTACAGAAACGAGTGATCAGAACTATAGCTAAAACCACTTTCGATGCACATACTGATCCAATCTTTCAAAATCTTGGTATCTTAAAATTTCATGATATATACTTAATACAACTAGGCTTATTCATGTACTCCTATCAAAACCATACTCTACCTTTAAAATTTCATTGTAAATTTACCTTACAAAGTCAAATTCATTCGTATAATACAAGAAACACGTGTAAATTTCGTCTGCCTTTCTGTCGTACTCGAACCAAGCAATTTTCCGTTTTTTATCAAGGACCTAAATTTTACAACACCTTAAACACCAACATCATCAACGCTTCCTCACCTTTCTCCTTTAAAAGAGCACTTAAGGCATTTATTTGTAATAATTATTAGTATACTTCAACAAAAATCTTGGGAAAAAGCCTTTTAATATTCAACATTTGTACATGTAAACTTCCGGAATATTGATTAGTTTAATTCTTCACCTGATATTATATTGTACCCGTCGCCGTAATTTTTATGCCATCTTCGAAAAATTGTAATTGAGGAGGCCTAATTAACATAAGCTCTATAGTTTCTTTTAGGCCTCCTCGCCATCTCTTCCTACATTTTTTTTTTTTCTTTTGGCATCTTTAAGTAATTATTGTAATTGTGTGGCAAATAGATAAAATACCTAAATACCTAAATGTGAGCCGCCCGGTTAGCTCAGTCGGTAGAGCATCAGACTTTTAATCTGAGGGTCATGGGTTCAAGTCCCATATCGGGCGACTTCCCTTTTTATGAATTTTCAAGGTTATGTTTTGATTTCTCTTGGGCTCGCAAATGACTGATGTATCATATGAAATACGCTAAGGAGAGTGCATACATACATACATACATGACTTTATTTTATATCGAATTTTCAGAGTAGCTCAAAAGCTAATATCTTCGAGAGATATTACATATCTGTTAATGCTTATTGCTATGAAAGGAGATGGTTCGTATTAGACGTTAAAACCCTCCAAAGTGGACTCCGTTCTAATGTTCTCAGGTAGAGAGTTCCAAGTCTTACAGACAGAATACTTAAAAGAGTGAAGACCATAAGAAGTGGAAGCAGGTCTACACAATGACAATATATCAGTTCCTGTAAGAGAGTAGACCGCTGAGCACAACGTTAATAAGTCCTTAAGATACGCAGGGTAGAAATTGATATTCATACATTTATGAATCGTGATAAACATATTTTGTACCCTCAAACTGTAAAGTGATGTACCTGCTGCTCTATCTAATAGCCGACTGTATGTTGATTCCCTGTCATTAAAAACTACACGCATTGCACGCTTATTCAATGACTCAAGTTTTTCGCTATTCCTAGAGGTACAGAAGTGCCATACTACAGAACAATACTGAAAATGTGGCAGAACAAAGGCCTTATTAGCTTTTGCAGTATGAATACAATTAATAGGTTGGCCTTTGACTTGTTAATAACCTTTTATTGATAACAAAACTAACTATTAAAACCTATTTACAATCAATTTCGCTGAAGAAGAAAAAAATATTCTGTGAAAGGTTTGAACCCAGGAGTCATTTCAAAAGGTTGAGTTTGATCGTCCGGGTGAACGTAGTCCTGAATAGGACTGTTGTTGTTGATAGTGACTGACGTTTCGACAACCTGTGCGGTAGTCATCTTCAGAGTCAAAGTGAGTTGTATCACGTCAGTAGATGGTATTATACTCTGGTTATTGATCTTATTGGTCAATAACATCACGGCTTAACTGACAGACGACCAATAACATCGCGACATAATTGACCAATCAGATCAATAACCAGAGTATAATACCATCCACTGACGTGATACAACTCACTTTGACTATTCAGTCAAAGCACTATTTACAAGTCATTTCATTTCATAAGCTCCTGTTCATTTCGATTAAAAAAAATTCGTTTTAATTAAAAAAACTCATTTCAATTAAAAACAATTCATTTCGACTAAAAATGAAAGAAAAATATTAAAAAGATCCTAAAATACTAATTTACAAGCCCATGCCACCATCACCCTCTAAAATCAGCGGACACACGCTTGGCTAGCGTTTAAGCGTTTAAGCGGCAGTCATCAGTGAAATCCCCTTGTGGAATTTTGTGGAAGGTTGGTTTTTATAAACCTGTTCATTTACGAAGCTGTGTTCCGTATATCAACAGTCGCATGAAAAGTTAGATTTCAAGCGATACTTTCCATACGGGAAGTCGAGAACGTAGGATAGAATTGACCAAGAGCTGGAAGGTGTTTATAAAAACTTTTTTTTCCAAAAAAAGGATTCAATGCTAAGTGAAGTGTAGTCCTTTTCCGAGGACGATTTTAAGCGGACTTTTTGTTTTGTATATAACCTATCTACCCTGACTAATGCCCGAAATGTTGTAAAACAAAACAAGGTTTTGTTAATGATATATGAAATAAATCATATATGAACTGCGGAAATGAAATGAAAATGAAGAAAAGAAGGTTTTGCTATATTGGCTGCCCCTTGAAAAGTGAATCTCTTCGTGTAGCGTATGAGTTCAGTGATTACTTGCTAATTTTTTGTTGCAATCTAGAGCAAAATGTTCGGATGGCAGCGGTGGGATTCGAACCCACGCCTCCGAAGAGACTGGTGCCTTAAACCAGCACCTTAGACCACTCGGCCACGCTACCATATGTACCCATACATTGGTAAACTCTTACCTTTTTTCCAGCCTCAATAACGCTTGATTAATCGCATGGTACACAGCTTGAAACAAAGTTTAATAGATCAACAGGTTTATAATTAAACAAGTTAGACTTTTAATTCGGGTAATCGGTACAGTATAGGATAAAACAGGCCATTTTCGAGTTCCCCCGGGCCTCTATTTCAAAACGAGGTTAAGTGCTCAGCTTTTGATGTGGAAATGCTTTTAAGTAGTAATAATATTCATTTTATTTACATTTAACTCTGGGGAGGAGGGAAGCCTGGGTACTAGTTTACCGGAGTCTGCGCTTTAGAACTGTCAGAACGCTGCTAGAACTCTTAACATGTGCTTGATTTAGCTGGCTTTCTCCTCTATGAATTATGAAGCTTAGAAGGAGTACGAGAGGGAAGAAACCTCCCCAGCATTTGCAGGATCTCCAGTTAGAATTAGATCCGACAGAGAGCCTTCAGACAAGTGCGATTAGAGATGAATTGAACCAAGTAGAGTCTCTGGTTGAAAGCTTAACACCCGAAGCAGATAAACAGTCTGCAAGTGCCAACAAACTCCAAACCCCGGCCTTTACACCCGAAGAACAAAAGCAGTCTGCCGCCAGTATCAGCAAACTTCAGAATGAGAACTTGAAGTTGGAACTTGAATTGACACGAGCCAAAATTGAGCTTGCTCCGGTTAGGTCCGCGATGGCACACGAAAGTCAATCCAAGATGGCCGCCCCAAACCCGGCGACCGTCAACACACGAAATCAAGGCCAGTGTACGACCTAAAGAGCGACTGTACCCACTCTAACTGCGTTGCAATCTGTCACAGCGGTTCAGGAGGAGCTTAAAGCCTTAGAAGAGTCACTATGGAACCCAATTGTTCTTGGTCTTTCGGACGAATTGGCGGATCCAGCGCAAAAACTACTGGAACCCAACACCAACCCAGAGGTAAGCGTCCCCTGCTAATTCCAGATTTTGTCAGTTCCCTCCCAGTGGTTCTGGAAGAGGACCGGGAGACCGTGCTTGGCGCTTCTGGTGGCACTCAAATCATATTAAAGACCAGCCCTGAGAAAAAGCCCCTGCTCAACAACATCACCTTTCCACAATGGTCAGCAGCAAACTTCAGGATCATGCACGCACTTGTCAAAGAAGGTGCCTTGTCAACTATGTCAGACATTATGAATTACATATCATATAGTACCAAAGTCTCAGAGCTGGCCAAGACTTACCCGCTAGCCCGTGTCGTCCACTATGATGACCTTTATCGACGAATGCAATTCGCCACTGGTTGTAAATGGGGTACAGAGAGTCAGTTTATCTACCAGCAATCCCTCCACAAGCCTGACACCAACCAGCCTGGCTCAACCAAACAAACAAACCGTCCTCCAGGTAGATCAACACCAACTATCGACCCAACCACGGGCAAGCAGGTGTGCTATGACTTCCAACGACGACAAGGCTGCAGCTATGGCACAGCTTGCAAGTATGACCATGTTTGTATAAAGCCATAGTGTTTGGGGGATCACCCCCAATGGAAGCACACAGCCACTCACTACCCCCAAGCCTGAACACACACTCGCCTGCAGAGCTATTTCTCAATTCTTTCGTGGAGCCACTTGCAGGGGATAGCTCGACCGCATCACCTATAGCAGGGAAATACCCATACGTTAGTTTAGAAACAGCAGAGTGTGTTGCTGACTCCAACCAATCAGCAGGGCCCTCATGTTATGCGCAGCAGCCCGATGCAGCCTGTATTTCCACAGACTTAAAATATGAGATATGGGCAAAGGAACTAGCTAATGATTTGGACAGAGACTTTATTCTCAATGGTGTACGAGAAGGGTTTGACTTGATTCCGCGAGATACTACTGTTTTACCAGCTTTCACAAAGAACAACAGATCGGCGCTTAGTCCAGGGGCCAAAGAGCAGATTGAAGAGCAACTATGTAAGGGCCTCTCACTAGGCCATTTTGGATCTTCAAACACACCCCCCATCATTGTTAATGCTATTGGAGCTGTACCCAAAAGGGACTCTTCAGAGTTGAGACTGATTATGGATTGCAGTCGACCGCTTGCATTGAGTGCAAACTCCTACATGGACCTTGACCACTACAAATATACTACAGTTGATGAGGCAGCATGCAAAGCCAAACCAGGTTTTTGGTTGGCCAAGATTGATTTAAAACATGCTTATCGCAGTGTTGGTACTCACCCCAGCAGCTGGAAAGTCACTGGCATGTCTTGGCTTTTTCAAGGTACTACCGACATCACTTTCCTGTTTGATAAACGCCTTCCCTTTGGTGCTCGAACCTCTCCTATGGTTTTCCACCGCCTTACCCAATCAGTTTGTAGAATGATGGCCCGACGAGGTTTCACAGTGCTTGCTTATTTGGATGATTTCCTCACCATAGAACCCAGTCAGCAGCAGTGTCAAATCGCTGTGGACACCCTCCTCGATTTGCTTCAGTCACTTGGTTTCACAATAAACTGGTCAAAGGTTGTTCAACCCAGCCAATCCCTGTGATTTCTGGGAGTCGAAATGGATACAGTGAATCGTGTACTACGGCTCCCCAGGGTCCGCGTCTCTGAGCTATTAGGCATTTTGAACTTAACCTTAACCAAGCGCAAGTGCCAAAAACATCACCTTCAACGCCTTGTTGGAAAACTAAGCTGGGCTGCTCGGGTCGTCAGAGGGGGCCGGACCTTTTTGAGACGCTTGATTACTGTAATGAACTCTGCAAAACATCGTCACCATCATGTTTACCTTAATACCCAGGCAAGAGCAGACCTCCATTGATGGGCATCCCTTCTTCCTGTTTTCAACTGCAGATCCCTATTCCCCAACGAGCTACCTATGACATCTGCGCTAGCCTATACTGATGCTTCCCCTGCAGGTGGTGGCTGTTGTTGGCACAATGACTGGCTATACGTTAACTGGGCACTAGATTTCCCGAATATCTGCCCCCTGCATATCAACTACAAAGAAACCTTCATGGTTCTCCAGGCAACCAAATGATGGGCCCCATCCTGGTCAGGACAAAGGGTTGTAGTCAAGTCAGATAGTGAAGTTGCTGCAGCAATTGTAAGCAAAGGAACCACCCCCTGCCCTGTCATGATGGATTGGCTCCGAGAGCTCTTCTGGTTGTCAGAGTACTATGCTATCCAACTAACTGTTGAGCACATCCCTGGCTCAGCCAATGTTATTGCCGACAGTATCTCTAGACTTGATGAAACATGCCACCGACACGCACTTCACGGATGGCTCTCACGGTCCTCTTCCTCTACTGAAGACTTTTTGTCTCACATGTCACCTTTGTCGCTTGCTTTCCTCAGATCCAGACGATCAGTCACGATTGGACATGGAGGTTCTTAAGTTTCGAAAACAAGCCTATGCAACTTCCACCAAGGCTGCTTACAAAAGTCAACTGCGAGCCTATCTTACCTTTTGCGTATATTATGGGCACCAGCCACTTCCAGCGTCTACCATCACACTTAGCCGCTACGCAGCCTTCTTGGCACGCTCTTTGTCTGCTTCCTCTATTCCAGCTTATCTTAACATTGGTCGTATTCTCCATTTGGAACATGGCCTGGAAGACCCTACCAAGAATAACTTCCACTTAGTAATAACCTTGCGTGGTATACGTCGCTGCAAAGGCTGCACAGTCTCACAGAAACAACCCATGACCCCTGCAATGCTTTTGGCTATCAAGTCACATTTGAACTTGACAGACCCAGTCCATGCCACCTTTTGGGCTGTCTGCTTAACAGGCTTCTTTGGACTTCTTCACAAAGTTAATATGTTGTTGAAGGGTGTTACCAAGTTCAACCCTTTAAAGCATCTTAGGCGAAGTGACATTGTGTTCTACCCAGGCTGGGCCATTGTCATCAACCGGTGGTCTAAAACCATCCAGTTTAGTCAACGTCTCCTTACTGTACCACTACCTCTCATCCCAGGTCACCCACTGTGTCCCTATTCTGCACTACAGCATGCCTTCAAGCTTGTGCCAGCCACCCTGTCTGGTCCAGCCTTCGTCTTGTCAGCACCCTCAAGGAGGGGCCTAATACCATTCACATATGCCAAGTTCGACAGCCTTCTTAAATCAGTGGCTTCCACAGCAGGTTTAGACCCATCCCGCATCAGTGGTCACAGCCTTCGTTCAGGGGGTGCCACCCTAGCCTTTCAAGCTAACATTCCTGAGGAGTTTATTAAACGACTAGGAGACTGGCGATCTGATGCCTTCAAGTCTTAAATTCACATATCCATTAAGTATAGAATGTATGCTATTCGCCAACTAGCCTCATTTGTTTGATTGCTTATTTATTTATTTTTAATACTTTTCTATTGGTATGGGGTAGGTCGTTCCTCCCTTGGGCAGTTTTGTTTTCAATAAATGGGAGGGCCTGCTTTCTGGCCCTTTCCTCTACCCCATACCTGTTGTTGTTGTAATCCCGCACTGGAGTTAAAATCTCATGCAAATAAAAGTCATTTTCACAAGAACGTTTGAGTAGTTGGCCTCATTTTGAAAATGAGGTTTTTTGGAACTCGAAAGTGGCCTATTGATCGAAAGGGAGACTTATCTTTAAAAGCTTTTTTTAGTGCAAAATATTCATGGTTTTATTTTTTTTAGATATATATACACTGTCTACACTGACTTATGCCTGAAATGTTATAAAGTAACAGAAGGTTTTGCTTTATAGACCGAACCTCGAAAAGTGAGGCTCTTCGTGTAGCGGACAGGAGGGCATTTTGTATGCGCATGCGTCAATATGGGCTGTTGAAGTGCCACAGAGGCATTTTCTGTGAATTGTTTACGTTCAGTACCAGCATTTGCAGGCTGTTTTCTGGAGCTGAATGACGTGTATTGGGCGCTACGTTCCACAAACATGTTCTTTAAGGTATCGAGGTGTTTCTACGATGAAAGTGAGTTTATTGTAGCCTCGCTGTCGCCCTTGAGAGGACAGTCTTCCCTTTCGTAAAACAGTGCATCGAAGACAAGATGGCGGCTGAATGTTCTTACCTCCTAACATTTCGCGCACATTTTTTGAGCAGGAGGAAAAGGTCAGTATGATAGTTTTTCGTTAAACAGTTATCCTATAGATACTCAATTCTTCTCAATAGTATAACGCTGAAATCGAACTTAATCGTTTCAGGAATACAGTGGTTAATTAAATGTCCATTCTGTCGTGAAACTGTTTTTCACCCTTTCTCTGGCTTGTTTATCTCGAAATCTTGCCTTTCTCCCCAGATTAAGTTAATGATTAATGAAACTAAGAATACTTCCGCCAATGAATGGCGCTTTGATGAAGGCTGTGAAAAATCGCCTTCTGCAGTAATTTTAGCTTCCTTCTCTGGTACGTCTTCGTTGAGAAATAAAATACACGCACTTAAACTATAAATTTAGATGAATATAATGATGCCAGTAAGATTGTGTTTTGAAAATAAGAATATTCTATCAATTAGTTATACAAAGGAAAAAAATTACAGCAATCGGTTCGAATTCTGATTTTTTTCCACCTTATTTTGATGGTACACTGTTTGTTTACATTTCATTATGCAAATAAATATAACATTTTGGCGTTTTAAAGAAAATCTAGCCTAACTCCCCAACCCCAAAATAGCACGAAATGAAACGTTATCAATACACCGTTTAAATAAATCCTGGCTTTTGTTGCAAAAAAATCGCATTTATTGCTAAATGATATCATTTTGTGGATACTACATTTGTTGATATGCTAATTTGTGAGACATTTCATTCACGAAGGATGTTGACTGAGACCAGCTTCTCCTCTGTATTGAACCACATTCTTGTTTAATGTATCAGTTTCTGCTTGATAATTCTTTCATGATATACAACTTACATAAGGGGTTCATCTAGATACAGTGAAAAGCTCTCGATAATAACAGACAAATTCATCCATCCATTTGTCTCATGTTTGTTGTCGCATCCCAGCTCATTTGGGTCCTTTAGCAGAAGTATTTATTTTTTGAGGAAACAGCATTATATGCACCCCTTTAACAAACTTCCTATCTTATTGTGTTTAAACAGGCTTTGAAGGTGAACAACATCGTCAGTTAGATTTATTCAGTGATGGCCATTCTCTGTTTTGAATGGATCACTACTGTCATCAAATATAATTTAATAACAAGAAATCGATTGTGGAACACAGGAGCTGTTACTCAAGAGACGCTTCAAAATAGTAGCTTAGGAAAAATCTCTGTATCTTTTAGAGTTAAAGAAAAATAAAAGTTCTGTTCGTTTTTTCGGAGTATGTGAATTCGTTTTGTCTGCAATTGAGCTTATGAAATGCTCAAGTGATCATGTTCTACGTAATCACTTGTAATTGTTTCTGTCTCAAACTCAATCAATTCTTCATTTCCTGTAGAATATTTTTTATAAATTTTTTTGCGAAAACTTTCGAAAAGTTGTAAAAACCCCATATATTTCACGTTTTTATGGCATATATAAACGCTTGTCTTCGCGATCAGTCTAACATGAGACATCGCGCTAATAAAGAAACCTCGCGTGGTAATTTTTTTTTTTGCTTTTTGTCTTAAAGCAGCTGAACATTGCTACGATGCATTTCCTCCCTGATATGTAAAACCACGAGTTTGGAAATCAAACCATAGAAATGCATTGCTTTGCCAGTGAAAATCAGACTTATACAGGAACATGATTTTTTGGCGTTGAATCTTGAAAGTCTTTAAAAGGCCAAGAAAACCTACTGCTGAAAAATCTACAAGTGAAAACCCGCGTAGAAAACGTCTGATTTTTGTCATGGAGAATATGTTTTGCAGGAAAGTACGGTATTCAAAGCACCAACGAAATGGCTTTTTAAAGGACTGTATTAAACTCTACGCGCGAGTTTGCGATTTCCCGCCATCAGATTTGATGCGCCCACGCTATTGTTGTTCAGCGGATTCACGCATGCGCATGCAAAATGCCCTCCTGTTCGTGTAGCGTAGGAGTTAAGTTATTATTAGTTTAAAAAACGTGAATGGCAGCGGTGAGATTCGAACCCACGCCTCCGAAGCGACTGGTACCTTGAACCAGCGCCTTAAACCACTCGGCCACGATACCGTATACACCTTCCTTACCCTGCTATTTGGGATACACATGGCTTTCTCATTGTTGGGGGAAAAAATAAAAGCAAAAAAATCATACAGTGACTACCTTTTCTAGTTAGTGGCTTGGGCATTGTTTATAGATGATTTTACACTTGATGGAAAAGAGGAACCCCCTGACTGTTTGTTACTTAGCAACCATAACGAAGAATTAAAGTACTTGAATGCAAAAAAACTGCTGTGCTGTCTGCGCTGCTGTGTTAAAAGGAAGAATAAAAATCGAAAGCCAGAGGCAGAGGAGAAGTTACCAACCTTGCCTTTTGAATATCATTTTGCATTGAGCATGTTGGGAACTAAAGTGAAATTTCACGATCTATTACCCGTGTTAGAACCCGAAAAACGAAAGTTCATAACAACGTGTATTGTATTGCTTTTTCATTACAATTACGGCTATCTTCAGTTTACAGTGACACCTATAAACCTGATTAAGGCTGGTATGGCAAGCCGTAATATTGTTATGAAAAAGCAATACACGATCATATGATCAGCTTTGCAGTAGTCTTTGGACTTCTCGATTTTTGATTCTTAATATTTTAGCTGATTAGATCTCTTTTCTAGAGATCCAACCGCCGTTGACAACCGGCAGGATCTTCGTCCACGGTTGTTGGAATTAATTTCTTACCTCTGTTAGGTTGTTCTTTGTGCGCTTTTCAAAACTGGGGTAAACTTAATTAAAAACCGTTACAAGCCTCGAACTTAACTTAAATTTTTAGGTTAGCTCAGTCGGTAGAGCATCAGACTTTTAATCTGAGGGTGATGGGTTCAAGTCCCATATCGGGCGACAACATGTTTTTATTTTTCAAATTATTTGAATTTTCGAAGTACTTTCTTCTTGTTTTTGGCTCACAGATGATTAATGTAAAGTGTCAAGCTAAGCATCAGGGGACTTGAATGTGGACACCGATATGCTGGATTATGTTTGTTGTTGAGCCTCTTCTTTTGTAGCCTGCGAAATCGGCCGTTTCTCCTCGCCCTTCGCCTCTGAGGACGTCTTGCGTGGAGGAACGTTCGCGACTCAGCGACACGGAAAATCAATGTTTACATAATATATCCGATAGTCATGGGGTTCCACCGGGGGGGGGGGGGTACTCCTGGGACCGTTTTCAGACTAAACCTCTCGGAATCCATACCCGTTTTCAGACCTGGTCTTTAGGCAGAAATTATGTTATCATTAGATTAAAGTGCAAACAAAAAATTATTCAAAATTTCGAATTCGCATATTTCTCTTTCTTGCTTACTCATTTGGAATTAAAACGATAAATACGTTCATACACTCCGTAGTTCCCTCGAAAACCATACCCGATTCCAGACCAAAATGGGCAAAGTGTATACCCGTTTTTAAACCAAAACGGCGCAAAAACCCTACCCGATGAGGCGGCACATTTAAGGGACTACCCTGCGGGGGTTCCACATTGAAATTTGTTCAATCTTACGTTTCTCCTGGTCGATTTTACTTAAGTGTTGTGTTCAGTCTGCGAACGACCTCCGGCAAACTCAAATGCTTCTTCTAGAGAAGAATATATTCCACTAAATTTGACTGTTTTGTTAGAGATTCATCGCGTTTACATTTGACCTTCCTGGCCTTTTTTCTTTTGTCTGTTGTTCGTAAACAATAGCTAAAACAATGTAACTACTCCGTTGACCAATCAGCGCTTCTTACCGTATTCCGAACCGATTTTCCGTCATCAGTATGGAATTTCTGTCGCTAAGTCCTAGACGCTGTTCCTCGCGAAACAGCCTCAGCGGCGAAGAGCGAGGAGAAACGGCTGTTTTCGCAAGGTTTTTTTTTTCTTTTTTCATTTTTCTGTCTTTTTAAACCTAAGTTTTTCAGTGAGTTCAAGTAAGATTATTTTACCATTTTTTTAAAAAGACAGAAGCGTTGCAGCGTTGATAGATAATATTAAGAAGCACCAGGCAATTAAGATAAATTGAAGCAAGGGGCCCTGTCGCGTAGCGTCGGGTAACAAAGCAAAAATTACCTATTAATTCATTTTAATTTTTTCAGAAAAAAGGTAATGTTCATGGGAAAAAAGTAGATGGCAGCGGTGGGATTCGAACCCACGCCTCCGAAGAGACTGGTGCCTT